CCACAGCACACCGGCTGCAGGGGCCATTGAGGGGTGAACCAACAGAAAAGGAAGACCTTTGTCTCTCTCTCTTACTGTCCACTCTGCCTGTACAAAAATTAAAAAAAAAAAAAAACTTTAGAAACTTGAACTTTAGAAAGGTCAAGGCCAAGTGGACAGAGCCACATGGCTTGTCAAGGGGAAGCTGTGCTCCCGGCCCTGGAACACTGCTGCTCTCTCCTGCCACACTCTAAAGGCAGTGCCAACTGGACCATAGCTGCAGGCCTGGTGGGCCAGGGTGGGGGATGGCGTTGATTCCTTGGGCTGTTCTTACTCCTTCACAAAACCCAGCTTCATGACCTGGCTCTCGGGGCTGGCATTTCTGGACTTCCATTTCTTTGTGCATAAAATCAAGTAAGAAGGTGTCACATGCCCAGCACAGAGTGACGGCTCTGTGAAGGGCAGTGCTCTCCTCCCCCACCCTTTCAGGTCAAGGGGAAATGCAGTTGGGGTGGGGACAAAGGTAAACACTTATTTGGGGTGGAGGCTTGCTTTATGAATCATCGTAACTCAGCTGAACGCAGCCCTCTGCAAACACTTGAGGTGTTCTTGGCGTGTTACTTTCTTGAATGATGTTGCGTGGTGCTGGTGGCGGGGCGGCAGGTGTGTGTGTGTGTGTGTGTGTGTGTGTGTATAATTGTCCCTTCCTATATAAAAGTGTGGCCTGACTTGTCCTGGATGCACCTGTCTGTAAGGAACCCTGCTCACCACAATGGTAGGTAACTGAGTGGGTACATAGAGACCAGAAAGGAGGGGGGAAGTGTCTTCCTTATTTCACTTCTACTTGTACTGGAGCTCACGGGGTGCATTTAATGGTGAGTGGATCTAGTTAGGAATCTTCCGCATGTGACTTGCAGTTCAACGTGTAGAGTAGAAAAAGGGTCTGGGGACTCTGGGAAATCCTAACGAGTTCCCTAAGATCTGAGTTGCTCTAGAAACTCTGGGGTTCAGTGAGGTCTCTGGTGTCTCTGATTCTTGGGGCCTATTTGAGTGGCTGGTGAGATGGAATGCAATGCCGGACCAATCATTGCACCATTTTATAGATAAACTGAGCCTGGGGACTGGAAGAGACTACAAGCCTATAGGGAGCTGAGTGCAAAGCCAGGGGTTGCTCTCTGCAGCAGGATCGCCTGGGAAACCTTGAAAAATACTGACAGGAGCTCCCAGACACTCAGATGTAATTGGTCTGCAGTGAGAACAGGGTTTTTGTTTTTTAACATTTATTTACTTATTTTAAAGGTCAAGGTCTACAGAGAGAGGGAGAGGGAGAGAGAGAGAGAATCTTTCATCTGCTGTTTCACTCCCCAAAGGGACTGGGCCAGGCTGAAGCCAGAAGTCTGGAACTTCATCCGGCTCTCCCATTGAGTGGCAGGTGCCCAACTACTTGAAGGGCCACCCTCTGCTGCTTTCCCAAGCACATTAGCAGGGAGATGGATTGGAAGTGGAGCAGCCAGGACTCAAACCATGACCCTATGTGATGCCAATATTGCAGGTGGAGGCTTAACCCTCTGCCCCACAACACCAGCTCCTATCTTATTAATTTGAAAGGCAGAGTGACAGAGAGAAGTGGAGAGACAGAAAGAGCCCTTCCATCCATTGGCTCACTCTCCAAATATCTGCAGCAGGCAAGGCTGGGCCAGGCAAAGCCAGGAGCCTGGAGCTTCATCTAGGTCTACCTATGTGGGTGGCAGGAACCCAGGCACATTAGCAGGGAGGTGGATCAAAAGTGGAGCAGCTGGGATTCAAACCAGCACTCTGATAGAGGATGTCCCAAATAACACCTTAACTTACTGCACCACAGTGCCAGCCCCCAGATCCCTTAGTCTGTGAACTCATGAATGCTCCACCCACATGACCTAATCACCTCTGGGGGGGGGGGGTCCTACCTGTTAGTGCCTTCCCATCTGGGTTGAATTGTTACAGGAGTTTGGGTGACGGCATTCAAAGCATAGCATGCATGCAAGACAAACTAACTTTTGGGTGGGGCCGGGGAGCGGGCTGTTTCTGAGACACTGTCACCTGGGTAATGCACCCTCTTAGTAAGGTGATCTCCTATGGGTCACTGTCATTCAGTCTCGTGCATCTCCAGCACCCCCAGGAGTCACATCCTGCAAAGTCTTCATCTCCCTGAGTGCCCCAGGTCCTGCCACCACCAGCCCCGCCCACTTGCCAGGTGCTTTTCTGAATCATCCCTGGTTCTTAACCAGCTCTGTTCTTGGGCGAGTAGTGTTTTTCCATTTCCCACTGCTATGGGGAGGAGTCTTTTCTGAAGATCAAGTCTGGGAAGTGAAGAAGTGAAGATTGGCATTGTAAACGGTGTTAAGGAGTTTGATGCACGCTCTCAAATTGCATGCCCTAACCATTGTTCCAGCCGACTGGCCCTTGTGCCTCTCACATCTCACCCATGTGTCTGTTTCCCTCCGGGTGTTATAAATTAAATGGTTATTCTCGCCATACCATTATGGTTCTATTTTATACACATTTTACATTTGTTTTGTTTTCAGTAAGTTGAACTTTTTTCGTGCTTGCTCATCATGTTTCATTGTGTCTATGCATGGGTGTGAAATGCCTTTTAAAAAAAAAAAAAGATGTATGTATTTATTTGAGATGTGGAGTTACAGTGAGAGAGAGAGAGACAGAGAGAGAGGTATTCCATCCACCGGTTCACCACAAATGGCTGCAACTGCTGGAACTGGGCAGATCTGAAGCCAGGAGCCAGGAACTTCTTCCAGGTCTCTCACATGGGTGCAGGGGCCCAAAGATTTGGGCCATCCTCCACTCTTTCCCAGGCCACAGCAGAGAGCTGGATCATAAGAGGAGCAGCTGGGACTCAGACTGGTGCCCATATGCGATGCTGGCACTGCAGGCGAAGCTTAGCCCACTACGCCACAGTGCTGGCCCCAAAATGCCATTTTTATACTAAAATGTTTTTCTTTTTCTATGAGATGACAGTCTTCCTGTAATGATACTATTTTCCAAATCTGATATCTTTTTAATTTTATTTATATTTTTGCAATTTTTTACATACTCAAATCTATTTTTTTCATACTGCATAAGATAAATATTTGCCAATGTTTTCTGTGGTTATTTTATTATCTTGTAAACATTTGAGCCTTGAATCCTTTTCAAGCTTCTTACATTGTGGGAACTAAAGTAAGAAACTTATTTCTTCCCCACACAGTGCCTCACTTGTTCTAAAACCATTTAATGAATCATTACTCTCCTCAAAGACCATGCTTATTTTGTAACAAACTTTCATACAGATTTATGAGTACTTTCTGGGTTCTCTATTTGGTTATGTATATTTGCACTTCTATTCTTTTTAATTTATTTTATTTTTTATTTTTATTATTTTTTAAGATTTATTTATTTATTTGAAAGGCAGAGTTACAGAGAGGCAGATGGGGAGAGAGAGAGAGAGAGAGAGAGAGGTCTTCCATCTGCTTGTTCACTTCCCAGATGGCTGCAACAGCTGGAGCTAGGCCAATCTGAAGCCAGGAGCTTCTTCCAGGTCTCCCACGTGGGTGCAGGGGCCCAAGTTGGGCTCAAGGACTTGGGCCATCTTCTACTGCTTTCTCAGGCCGTAGCAGAGAGCTGGATTGGAAGTGGGGCAGCTGGCACTCAAATTGGCCTCCATATGGGATGCCAGCACTGCAGGCGGTGGCTTTACCTGCTATGCCACAGAGCCAGCCACAGGCTAACAACTTTTAAGTGTCACAGGTTTTAAGGATTCTGCAGAAACAAAAAAAAAAAAAAAAAAAAAAAACAAACCTGTAGTTTAGAATGCACAGAAGTTTGTGCATTTTAGTTAATGTACTTTGTAACCTAAGTTATTGCAGGATAATTCTGTCATGTATCCTGTTTGTATTTGTTGGTGTAGTTCTCATGACAGACTACACACATTTTTGTCAATCTGTACTTTTTTCAAATATTGAAAACCTTATTTTTTAATTCTTTGCATTTTTCAATTACAGAAAAGCACTTCAAGTTTTTTATGTGTGAACATTACATATAAAGCCTTTAAAACACATAACTTTAGTGCCAAAAGAGAAAGTACAAGGTGGGAGTTGTGGCACAAGAGGATTCAACTGTGGATTACCAGGCCAGTGTCCCGTGTCCAGTGCTGGCTCGGGTCCAGGCTGCTCTGCTTCTGACCCAGCTTCCTGCTAACGCTCCTGGGAAGGCAGTGGAAGGTGGCTCAGGTACTTGGGCTCCTGCCACCTATATGGGAGACCCAGGTGGAGTTCCTGGCTCCTGGCTTCAGCCTGGCCCAGCCCCTGCTGTTGGGGCCGTGTGAGGAGTGAACCAGCAGATGGAAGGTCTCTCCCTCTCTCTCTCTCTCTCTCTCTCTCTCTCTGTCACTCTGCCTTTCAAATAAATATTCTTAAGTACTCTCACCCCATCTTTGTTTTTAGAAGATTCCTGGGGATTATCATTTTAAAGTTAGTTTGTGCAGTTTATCTAGGAACGATGACAAGCGTAACCTGATCCTTCTCCTTGTCCTTGATTTCAGCCTAGATCCCTTGGTCTGTTCATATGGTCGGCAGCGATGCCTTTGTCATCTAGAAAATGAAAAAAATCATCTGATCCTCATGCTCACAGCTTTGCTTGCACCTGTCTTTCCTCTGGGACCCCCAGCTGACCCAGCTAGCCCAAGAAAGCCCCAGCCAGAGTCTCTTCCCCTTTATCTCTTCCTGAAACTCCTCCACCCCTTCACTCTTGCAGATTCTTGCTAAAAACGACCCTACCCAGAAAGGCTTCCCCGACCGCTCTGTGATAAGTAGCACATGGGCATCATAGCTCCAGGACCTTGAACTCACAACTCAGTCTTTCTTTGGCTCATGCTCTGGACTTGCACAGGTCTTGCTCCATGAGGGTGGCAGCTCCATCTTTGCACACCTGCCAGGACCCAACCCTCTGGGTTCATTCATGCTCCGTCCTCACTCCTCTTCATGTTACAGAACACTCTGCTGGGCAGCCTTGTGGTCTTCGCCAGCCTCTTGGTGTTGTGCAACACGCAGTGCTATGTCGAACTCTATGACAAGAACCCGGAGGATCCCCCTGATGGTGAGTCCCCATTCTCCAGCGTTGATTATGTCACTGCAGCCTGGGAGATGTGACCTGTGCACTGGTGCTGAACACCTTTGAATCTGCATAAGAAAGAGGGTCAGGGCAAATATAGAGATGGTGTCAAAAGGATTCCAACTTAACCCTAGCTGGGTGAGAGTTGACTTTGTTCTTCTTTTGAAACTTACCAGCGCTCAAGTCCCATCCAATCTAAAACCAGGTAGGCAAATGAGAATCACTGGGGTATGAGCTGCACATTAAAAGCTCCTTGATGGGGTGAGCATTTGGCTTAATAGTTACACTGTGGCTTGGGACCCCGTATCCCATACTAAAGTGCCTGGGTTCAAGTCCCAGCTCTGCTACCAATTCTAGCTTCCTGCTGTTGTGCGTCCTGGGAGGCAGCAGATGACGGCTCAATTCATTGGGTCCTTGCAGCTCATGTGGGAGACCTGGATGGAGTTCTGGGCTCCCAGCTTTGGCCCTGGGCCACACCAAGGTTGCTGTGGGCATTTAGGGAGTGAATCAGCAGATGGGAGCACCATATGTTGCTCAAAAATAAAATAGAATAAAAGCTCCTTATTTGACTATGAAGTGGGGCACAGCCCTGGGTCAGTGGCTCTGCAGGCAGATGTGGGAGTCTGCATGTCTCATGCCACCCCAGGTGATGTTGCAACTGGTCCTTCCGGGACACTGGGACCACATGGATGCAAAGCAGAGGATTGTACCCTTGGTTAAACATTTGAATTCTTGGGGAGTTTCTTTTTTTTTTTTAAGATTTATTTATTTTATTTGAAAGAGTTACACAGAGAGGAAAGGCAGAGAGAGAGAGAGAGAGAGAGAGAGAGAGAGAGAATCTTCCATCTGCTGGTTCACTTCCCCAATGGCTAAACTGGCTGGAGTTGGGCTGATCCAAAGTCAGGAGCCAGGAGCTTCTTCCAGGTCTCCCACGTGGGTGCAGGGGCCCAGGGACTTGGGTCATCTTCCACTGCTTTCCCTGGCCACAGCAGAGAGCTGGATTGGAAGGGGAGCAGCTGGGACTCAGACTGGTGCCCATATGGGATACCGGCGCTTCAGGCCAGGACATTAACCCGCTGCACCACAGCGCCAGCCCCGGGGAGTTTCTTAAACATGTGGTGGCCTGGGCTTCACACCCAGAGACTCTGATTTCCTTGCTCTGGGGTGGGTCCCAGATGTAAATTTTTTTATTTCAAATTTTCCATTATCTGTTTTGTTTATTTGATAGGAAATGGAACAGGGAGAGAAAGAGACGGAAACAATGAGCTTCCAAACCCTGACTGGTCCACTCCTGAGATAGCCCAAATGCCCACCTCCAAGTGTTCAATTAAAAAAAAATTATCTTATGTATTTTAAAGGCAGAGTTACAGAAAGAGAGGAAGGGACAGAGAGAAAGTATGAGAGTGGGGAGAGAGAGACGTTCCATCCACTGAGTTTCCCCATGTTGAGTGCCAGGGGCCCAACTAACTGAGCCATCTTCCACTGCTTCCCCAAGCACATTAGGAGGGCACTGGGTAGGAAGTAGAGCAGCTGGGACTCAAAGTGGCACCCATGTGGGATGCCGGCCTCTCACAGGTCCCTGTAGGTGGCTTTGAAGTGCCCCGTATGTGTCACATGTTCACCCAGGGTTAGGGACCGCCGATGAAAAACACAGGGAGGTGCTGTGCTGAGGTATTTCTGCAGAGAGAAGCCAGCAGGAGAGAACTTGGTCCCACAGAGCCCCATGCTTGTCCTAGCTGTCTGATTAAAGAGGAGGGCTTTATATCTCCAAATGTCTGTCCGGAAATAAAACCTGCAGGGATTCAAGCTTTGTGACAAAACGTCACCAACGGCAGGTTCTGCACGGCAGCACCTTTCCCGGACACCATGGTCACATGGCAGGGGGCTGGCCTTCCTGTCCTCATGTGCCCTGCTCCCGCCAATGCTCCCGATGATGTCGCTTGTGTTGTCTTAGAATGCAGGGACCTTGATGGAGTCACACACAAGCTGAACGTGGAGTGGAAGACTGAGAACTGTTGCACATGTAGTTGTGATGAGACTGGAATTCATTGCTGCAACACGTGAGTCACACGGGTAGTGGCGGAGAGAGGAACAGCACTGCTCCTTCTTTGAAAACCCTGTATTTTGGGGGCATCCTTGTTTGTTTTAAATAGGCTTTTTTATAGGCATTTTTAAAGAGCCTCTTGGATTCCCAGCAAAATTGAGCAGAGCTAGAGCGATTTCTCATACACCTCTGCCCCCATACATGCACTGTCTCCCTGTTAGCAGTGTCTTCCACCAGCGGTGCATTGGTTACTGACCTCACATGGACTCATCCTTGTCACCCAATGACCACAGTTCACATTCACTCTTGATGTGGTGGTGGGGGGTTGAGGGATGGAAGTCATTTTTAGTCCTATTTCTTTTATTCTTTATGTAATTAATTGCACACACACACACACAGAGAGAGAGACAGAGAGAGAGACAGAAAGAGAGATCGAGATCTCCCACGTGTCAGTTCACTCCCTAAATGCCTTCCTGCCAAGACTGGGTCAGGGAGCCAGGAACTGAATCCAGATCTGCCAGACTCCCATGTGGGTGGCAGGGACCCAAGGACTTGAGCTCTCACTTGCTGTTTCCCGGAGTGTGTATTAGCAAGAAGCTGGAATCTTGAACTGGGACCCCAACCCAGGGACTCCAACATGGAATGCAGGCAATCCCAGGGGTATCTTAACCACTAGGCTGAATGCCCACTCCTCTCTTCCTTCTTTGGCTTGTGGTGGAATACGTAGCACATAAACGTACCGTTTCAGCCATTTGTAAGTATACACTTCAGTGGCGTTAAATAAATTCATGTGGCTGCCACCCCCCTGCCATGCCCTTCATCCTGAAGAACTGGGATTCTGCACCCAGTCAACACTGCCCTCGCAGGGGCTGGTGCTGTGCTGCAGCGGGTTAACACCCTGACCTGAAGCGCTGGCATCCCATATAGGCACAAGTTCTAATTCGGGCTGCTCCTCTTGCAATCCAGCTCTCTGCTATGGCCTGGGAGAGCAGTAGAAGATGGCCCAAGTCCTAGGGGCCCTGCACCCATGTGGGAGACCTGGAGGAGGATCCTGGCTCCTGGCTTCAGATTGGCGCAACTCCAGTGGTTGTGGCCGGCCATCTGGGGAGTGAACCAGTGGATGGAAGATCTCTCTCTCTCTCTCTCTCTCTCTGTATCTACCTCTCTGTAACTCTGTCTTTCAAATAAATAAAATAAATCTTAAATTAAAAAAAAAAACACTGCCCTTGGGGCTTGGCAAACACCATCTGTCTCTATGAATTTGACTGTTCCAGGCTCCAAATGTAAGTGGAATCATGCACGTGTTTGTTTGTCCTCCTGAGACTGGCTTCTTCACAGAGTGTGGTGTCCTCCGAATTCACCCATGTTGTGGCCGGTATCAGAATTTCCTTCCTATTTGAAGGTGGACTAACACTTCATTCTGCACATTTTGCTTAGCCATTCGTCTGCTGGTGTACACTTGGCTGCTTCAGTTTTATTTCCTTTATGTTGCTTTTGGAACTTGGTCAACGCCTTCTCTTAAAAGTATCTGTTTTATTTATTTGAGAGACAGGTAGGGCGAGCTGCTGCCTGCTGGTTCACTTCCCAGATGTCTGCTACGTCTGGGATTAGGCCAACAGATGCTGGAGTGGGAACCAATCCATGTTGGTGGCAAGCCTCAACCACTTGAGCCACCGCTGCTGTCTCCCAGGGTGTCCATTCTCGGGAAGCTGGAATTGAGAGCAGAGCTGCCTTCAACCCACTACTCAAATGTGCGATGCGGCCACTCAGCCAGCAGCTTAGCCTCTAAGCCCCCAAATGCCCACCCCAGTTTCCTTATTCTTTGTTTAAAAGATTTATTTATTGGGGCTGACTCTGTGGTGTAGGAGGTTAAGTCTCCACCTGCCATGCTGGCATTCCATATGGGCGCCAGTTCAAGTCCCAGCTATTACACTTCTGTTCCAGCTTCCTGCTAATGGCCAGGGAAAGTAGTGGAGGATGACCCACGTGCTTGGACCCCTGCACGCACATGAGAGACCTGAATGAAGCTCCTGGTTCCTAGCTTTGGATTGGCCCAGCTCCAGCCCTTGCGGCCATTTGGGGAGTGAACCAATGGATGGAAGATCTCTCTGTCTCTCCCTGTAACTCTGCCTCTCAAATAAATAAGTATTTTTAAAAATATTTATTAAAATATAAAATATATAATATAATTTATATTATTATATTTATTTATTTGAGAGGCAGAGTTACAGAGGGGAGGGAAGAGAGAGAGAAAGAGAGAGAATCATCCCTTGGTTCACTCCCCAAATGATTACAATATCAAGGGCTGGGCCAGGCCAAAACCAGGTGTCTGGAACTTCATCTGGGTCTCCCAAGCACTCAGGTCATCTTCTGCTGCTTTCCTAGGCCATTAGCAGAGAGCTGGATGGGAAGAGGAACAGCCGGAACTTGAACTAGATGCCCATATGCAGGTGTCACTTTTCCCTGCTGCAGCACAGCGCTGGCCACAGTATCATTAGCCTTAAATCTCTGTATCCAGAGGGGTTCTGGAGACAGGAAAGCCTATGCAGTGGTCGATGTTATTGGAGAAGCTGGCCCAGCCATCAGTGCAGCCTTGGCCTTGGCCATAGGAGGAGCAGGCGGTGCTGGATGTGAGGTGTAAGGAATGAGGGCGCAGCGTGTGTACCTTGTGCTGTCAACCCTATGTTGTGCTGCTGGGAGTTCTACCCACCCACGTCAGCTCAAAGGTCATGCAAATGTGTTCTGCTGGGGTGCTGTGGACACCAAAGTCTAGACTGGGGAGGAGACAACACAAAATACCCACAGGTCTGTCCACACCAGCCACCCCTACTCCTAGCCCCCTGCCCCAATCCATCTGCCATCCACATCAGCTCTGGCCTGTGGTGTTTCACAAGCACGTGAGTGGCCTTGACGGGAGCACGTGTGTAAAGCAGCTTTCCCACACTTGCTGGTCACAGAGTCCTCTGGGAGGCCAGGTGAAATGCAGATTCCTGGGCCCTACCCCAGAGCCTCTGATCAGAATCCATAGAGGAGAGACCACGGAACCTGAATTTTTTTAAAAAATATTTTTATTTATTATTTGAGAGGTGGAGCTACAGACAGAGAGAAGGAGAAGACAGAAAGAAAGGTTTTCCATCCACTGGTTCACTCCCAGATGGCCACAATGGCCAGGATTGGGCAGATCTGAAACCAGGAGCCAGGAGCTTCTTCCAGGTCTCCCACATGGGTGCAGGGGTCTAAGCACTTGGACCACCTTCTTTTGCTTTTCCCAGGCATATTAGCAGGGAGCTGGATCAGAAGTGGAGCAGCAGGACTTGAACTGGTGCCCACATGGGATGCTGGCACCACAGGCAGAGGTTTTAGGCTACTGTGCTGCAGCACCAGCCCAGGAACCTGCATTTTAACCAGGGCTTCCAAGAATCTGATGACAACTCCAGGGGAGTAGGGGAGTGATCTTCTGACCCAAACCAGAACACTTGAATCTCATTGAAGTTCGCGTGGCTGGCAAGTGCCACTCACATTTGTGAAGCAGGTGCAATGCTAAGTACCTACTGGAACAAAAGGCATATGGAACCGGGCCTCCAGCTGGCTGCCCGCCCAGAGCAGGCTCCCAGGCATCTACTGGCTGGGGCACTGTGTGTTCCATTTGAATCTTGATGTTGTGGCCCCAGAACCTTGAATTCTCCCTTGTGTCGAGTGTCAGTGGGACCCTGGTGTGCCTGGCTGGGTAAGGGCTGGTGAAACTGTGCCTTACTCCCACCGAGGGCACCTCCGTGGTGGCATCCCATCCCATCAGTGCGTATCATCACGTCCCATCCATGGGACCCTCTTCTAAGGTTCCCATGGACCCCGAGTAGAAGCAGCCAGGGCTGCCCAGGCAGTGAGGTGGGAGGAGCCTCGATGCAGGAGTCTCAGTGAGCTTACTCAGCTCTGGCTTGTTGCATGCATTTGGGAAGTGAACCAGCAGGTGGAATCGCTCCCTCCCCCATATCTCTGCCTCTCAAAAGATAAAAATCCATTTTGCTCAGGCAAAACACGTCAGACCTTCTCTGTGTCAGTTCTGAGCGCCCTGAGCCTGGAATGGCAACTAGCACGTGGTTTGGGTGAGGGTACCCTCTCCCTCTCTGCTGCTATGTTGCCTGTCCACAGGAAGTATGCTCACTTCTCTCTACTGCTCAGAATCAACCCCTTCCCTGGAATTGCTCCATTGCTTACCCAAGTTCGTTTTTTCTTCATGCACTCCTCTCTATCCCTCTCTGACCAGAGCAAATACAGATTTGATTAACCTTTCTTTGGGAGAATTTCCTGGATCCTGCACCTTACTTGAGACACAGGTAGATTTCCAAGTGGCAGTAGCAGTGGAGCCTGGGGCTGGAGGCCCAGGCAGAGGCTGGCCCCCCCTCTCAATCAGGGGGTGGAAGATCCTGGCCTCCCCACCTCCCAAGCCCTGCTCTCTGACCGCAGCGAGGGAGTGAGCTGTGGAGGCAAAGGCCCAAGTTCATCCAGCCCCCAGCGCTGAGACACCCCTAATGTTCCAGTTTTCCCTTCTCATTCTCTCTTTAGCTGTTTCAGCTACAGAATTGGGTCTGATTTAAATGAAAATATGCATCCAGTAATATGCCCTTTGCCACTGCAACTTGTACCTGCACGCAGACAACAGAATTACACAATTCATTTCCTACTAAAAACTTGTAAAAAAAAAAAATCTCACCTAGGGGCCAGCATTGAGATGCAGCAGGTTAAACTGCCACTTGGGACAACCACATTTCATACTGGAGTGTTGTTTCAGTCCTGGCTGCTCTAGTTCCAGTACACTTGGGAGAGAGCAGATAACAGAGCAAGTGCTTGGGGTCTGATCCCCCATGCGAGAGACCCAAATGGAGTTCCAGGCCCCTGGCTTTGGCCTGGCCCGATCTGGCTGTGGGGGCATATGGGGCAGTGAATCGGCAGATGGCACATCTCTCTCTCTGTGTTGCTCTGCCTTTCAAGTAGATGAAAACAACAGACTTTAAAAAAAAAAAAAAAAAAAAAAAAAAAAACTAAGAATATCTCTTGAACAACAACCACTTTTCTTTTTAATGTTTTTTTTTTATTGTGGTAAAATCTATATGACCAAACATTTGCCAGTTTCACCACTTCAAAGCATACAGTTCAGGGGCCGTGAAGTTCATGCACAGCCAGAGGCACCCATCACCGCCATTTCTAGAACTTTCCAGGGACTCCAAACCAAAACTCCCCGTGTATGCAGTCCTACCTCCCCCTCCTCCTCCCCCAGTCCCTGAGAACAACTAATCTACTGTCTCTGTGGATGTGCCTAGTGTAGATCTTTCTTGGAACTGAATTGCACATTTATCTTTTGCACTCTGCATATTTCGCTCAGCAGCACGTTTGCAGGGTTCATCCGTGTTGCAGCCTCTTTTCAGTAACCCCTTCCTTTGAAGCCTGAAAAATATTCTGTGTTATCGGAATAAGCCTATTTTACTTCCGTTTCCTGTGGCTGACGGACCTGTGGGTTGCCTGCACCTCTGGGCTGTAGTGGGTCCTGCTTCTACAGTATGGTTGAGTCCCTGCTGTCAGTTCTTTGGGAGCGTGTACCTGGGGGGGACGTGGCTGGGTCTTCATAGTGTGTATTTTTTTTTAACTCTTTGAGAAACTGCCCATCTGTTTTCCACAGTGGTCACAACATTCACATTCCATCCTGTAAGCAACCCATATTTTTTAACTTAAAATATTGTTGGATTCAATTTTATCAGTAAAGCATTCTTTTAAAAAAGTTATTTATGTATTTGAAAGGCAGTTACAGAGAGAGAGGGAGAGAGAGAGCAAGAGAGATCTTCCATCTAATGGTTCACTCCCCAAATGGCCACAGCATCCAGGCTGGGCCAGACCAAAGCCAGGAGCAGGAGCTTCTTTCAGCACTCAGGTCATCTTCCACTGCTTTCCCAAGTGCATTAGAAGAAGAAGCTGGATTGGAAATGGACTTTGAATGGTGCCCACATGGGATACTGGCATCACAGGTAGCGGTTTAACCCTCTACGCCACAACACTGGTGCCCAAACAACCATTTTTAAACATCAAAAGTTTCAGTAATAATTTCCCAAGTTTTCAGTATAACACATAGTAATATAGCACTATTGGAAAGTACAGGAATAAAATATATTTATTAATCTCACTGCTTGAAGGTAACAACGATTAGTATCTTATCTGATTCCTTCTAACTCTGTTTTTTGTTTTGTTTTAAATATTTATTTATCTGAAAGTCAGAGTATAGAGATGGAGAGAGAGGAGGGAGAGGAGGAAAGAGAGAGAGAGAGAGGTCAACCAATCCACTGGTTCACTCCCCAGATGTCCACAACAGCCAGAGCTTGTGCTGATCCGAAGCCAGGAGCCAGGAGCTTCCTCCAGGTCTCTCACGTGGGTGCAGGGGCCCAAGGACTTGGCATCTTCTACTACTTCCATAGGCCACAGCAGAGAGCTGGATCAGAAGTAGAGATCCAGGCCTCCTGGCTTCAGATCAGCCTGGTGCGCCAGCTGCAGCATACCGGCTGCAGCGGCCATTGCAGGGCGAACCAACAGAAAAGGAAGACCCTTCTGTCTCTCTCTCTCACTGTCCACTCTGCCTGTCAAGAAAAAAAAAAAAAGAAGAAGAAGAAGTAGAGCATCCAGGACTCAAACCGGCACCCATATGGGATGCCGGCCCTGCAGGTGGTGGCTTTACCTGCTATGTCACAGCGCCAGCCCCCCAACTCCTTTCTACATTTTTTTTTTTTTACATGACAGATACCAAACTCTAGGTTGCAATTGTGTAGTCTGGGTTTTCCACTCAATAGTCTAGCATTAACACTCTCGCACCTCATCAAAACTCTTGCTAGTCATTCCTTAGTCTTCAAACAGATTCAGTGCTGAACCCCAGCGCTGAAGTCAAGTCTCGAGCGTTTGCTTCCACTCGCGTGCAGCATGAGCCAGCAGGAGATTGGTGTGCGAGTGCCCTGACACCACTGGCCCAGAGGGAGCGCCATCCTCAGGTGTCTTGGGAGGAGTCAGGCAGTTGAGATAGAAGAAAGGCCCTGGCTTTGTTGGTGGCCAGTTGAAAGGAAAGTGAGGGTCATCTTTTGTCACAGAGGGTGGTGGGGAGCGGCTGTGTGTATGCACCTTTTGGGCAGAGACAGTTTAAATTTAGGGTTTACGCATGAGCTTCAAGGGACCAATGGGCCCCCAAATTATTTGCCCCACTGAATGTGGGGGTGAATATTCTGAGGGAGATGGTCCCCAGTCTTCAACTCCTTCCTGGGCCCCATGACCCCAGCCTGGAGTGGCTCTCTTTGCTCCTGGGTTGAGATGGCTCCTCTTCTAACTTCCTTCCTGCCAAGCTTGGGACAACCTGACCACTTCCTGAACAGGGACACCAGGGACAGCCAGGCTGGAGCCACCTGCCTGGCTCCAGAGCAGCCCAGGCCTGCCTCTGGGGCTATCAGAACTCCTGGCCATCCTGGGCAGGCCAGAGGCTGTGTGATGGATGGCAGGGATGGTTTGTATGACTCTGCAGAATGGGCAGGTGCAGGTTCCCCGGGGGCCACGCTGTGGGGCTGACAGCAAAGGGTGCCATCCCGTTGATGATGGCGGTTGCAAGGTGGGGGGAGAGGATCTGCTGCAGTGTGGCCCTGGCTGGGCTGGGGTGGGGGTAGCATGGGGGAGTCTTTTCCTGTCTAACAGGGCTTGGTTTTTCTCGATGACAGTGCTGCCATCCCCGGAGGTTTTGATACCACAAAGTGCAAGACGATCTTCCACAAGGACACTTGCAGCTACTCCGTGGTGGAGCTGGAGAACCCGGACAAGGAATGTCCAGTCAGCTCGTGGATCCTGTGAAGAGCTAGCGGGCCCAGGTCCTCCCGCGGGCCCGGACAGCCCGATGTACAGCCCTGCTTATCAGTAAAGCATGTGTGGAGCAATCACTCGGCTGTGTATGCATTGATTGCACATTTTAAAGCATGTGAACTGAAGAGATGAAAAGTGGAATAAAGGTTATGCCCATGTGCCCGTACCCAGCGTCCCCCGTCCCAGCGCGGGCCACCCCTGTGGTTTCTGCCCGCAGCCTGCTCTCTGCTGGGCAATGAACACAGTCTATGCGTCTTTGCGATGAGATGGATCCTTTCCCTGTTTGGGGGTGTTCGTGTTTATCCTCCCTTCCCCTTCATGGGCGAGGGGCCTCTCCTCTGCTGTGGCTCCCCACAGGCTGAAGTGGTTGCCTGAGGATAGAACAGGTCAGAGCAAGGCAGCCGGGAGAAGTGTCCAAGTCCTGGTGCAGCACAGGGTTGAAGAGGCCAAGGCTGAGAGGGCGTGGCCTGAGGGAGCCAGGGCATGGGTTGTGGCCTGGGGGAGCCTGGGCTGAGGACCTGGCCTGGGGCAGCCAGGGCTGAAGGGGTGTGGCCTAGGAGCAGCTGGGGCTGAGGGGCATGGCCTGGGGAGTGAGGGTGAAGGGCGTGGCCTGGGGCAGCCAGCTCCCCTCCCAGACCACTGAAAACAGTGACTTAAAAATGCACTGTCAACTTCTGTTCAGCTGGGCCAGGCAGTGAAGGGGCACTGGCTGGGTATACGTGACAGGTCACCAACAAGCCACTGGCCATCGGCCTCACAGTGTGGGCAGCTGATAAAGAGCATTCTCTCCCCTCTGGCCCGGCCCCATCTGTGCAAACAGGCCGCGTGGACACGCTGAGCAGTGCAGCCGGGCCCCTCGGCGTCTTTGTCCACTCTAGATAGTGACTTCGGTTATGTCCAAGCCTCCCTGCAGACTCCGCGCCTGCGTCACGGGCATAGCCGTGGGCTTCTGGAACATTCCCCTACTGAGCCCCTCTCCACAGCTCCCCTTCTGTATCCCTGCCGGTGCCTCCGCCACTTTCTACTCGGGCTGCCTTGCCCCTTGTAGGAGCCGCCCTTGAGTGGGACCCATAAGACCCCCTTTTGGGGGCCGTCATTGTGGTGCGCTGGTTCGAGTCCCAGCTGCCCCACTTCCTATCCAGCTCTCTGCTATGTCCTGGGGAAGCAGTAGAAAATGATCCAAGTCCATGGGCCCCTGCACCCACTAGGGAGACCCAGAAGATCCAGGCTCCTGGTTTCAGCCTGGCCCAGCCTTAGCCATTGAGGCCATTTGGGTAGTGAACCCGCAGGTGGTGGACCTCTCTCTCTCTCTCTCTCTCTCTCTCTCTTTCTCTGTAACTCTGCCTTTCAATAAATGAATTAATTGTTTTAAAGCTCCTATTACGATCTTCCACTTGGCTGGGAAAAGTGGAAGCAGTTGTCAGTGAGTGTGGAGCCCCCTCAGGCATCTGGCTACAAACACACTCAGAATCCCAACGTGGTAACGCGACCCTGGGAAGCTGGTGTGAGGAGGCACCACAGGGCAGGCAGGGTGTGCAAGATGGCCCTTAGGGAGCAGCTAAGTGTGCCTTGGGAGTGGTTCCAGGGGTTGGAATCTGGGTTGACATTAGCTATTTACCCTATGCCCTTATAACAATGGGAAGAGGTTTCACTTGAGTCTTTCCAGGGATCGCTCCTCAGCCTGTGTGTATACCGGCCCGAAATGTCAAACCCTGGACCCCAGTCTCGAAAGGCTGACCCTCTAACAGCCAACCTCAGCACCTTTCCCTAAACAAGCCGCCCATGAAGAGACAAGGAAGAGGCCTGCCTCCTCCCAACATCGGGTGACATGGAGGACCTCAAGGGTCTGGTGGACCAAGCACAACGCCTGTCCCTGACCCCTAGTCCAATGGGCCGCTGCTGGTGGTGCTGATCTGTGCAGCCCCTGACGTTAAACTCAGGCTGCCGGTGACCAGGCTGGGTTCCAGGATGGGCCCAGTGATTTGGCTTTCTGTCCGGGCACACAGTAACTGGACTGGACCCTGGGACCAGCCCTTCAAGGATGCAGTCAGGCAGCTGGTAGAGCGGACTAAGAGGACCCTTCGACTGATCATCGCTCTGTTATACCCATTGTCGCTGCGGTAGCTGGTGCGGCTGTCGCCATCGTTTCCCTCGTCCAAAGTGTTCAAACAGCTGACTGGTGAACAACGTCACTCAGCTAACGGCCACTCCCCTGTTTACCCAAAACCAAGCCACCAGTCAGATCAAAACAGCGATCCTGGCCTTGGAACAGGGGTTGGATTCACATCAGAAACAGATTGAACTGCTTTGGCAGACCATGCACCCCCAGTGTGACGTTGGCTTCACAGATGGTTCTGTCTCCAGCGTGCCTGTCTTAGACTGGGAAACTTGGTCCCATACCTTGTCAGCCTGTATTGGGGCTCTTGGATGGGCAGTTTTCTCAGGCGCTCTTCAGTTTAACCCAACAAATTCTAAAGCTTGACGCTCACATTTCTGCCCTGGTAGTCACCACCTTTATATAGGGCCTGGGTGATAACTGGTGGGGACCCGTGAAGTTTTGCTTACATCCCAACATGTCGATTATTGCAGAAGGGGGCAATAAAAAAGTCTCAAGAAAGTGCAATTTCTTGTTTTTTTTTTTTTCATTTGTAATGTTTTTAATGAAGATTTATTTTATTTTATTCGAAAGGCAGAGCTACAGAGAGGGGGAGAGAGAGATATTCCATCCACTGGTTCACTCCCATATGGCCACAGTGGCCTGATCTGGGCCCAAGCCCAGAGCTGCTACCGGGTCTTGTATGCTGGTGCAGGGGCCCAAGCACTTGGACCATCCTCCGGATGGCTTTCCCAGGCACATTAGCAGGGAGCTGGCTCAGAAGTGGAGCAGCTGGCTGTGCTTTAACTGCTTTGCCACAACACCGGCCCCAATTTACAATTCCTTTTACTGAAGATTTGTACAAACTGCCTAGTGTAGGTTGTTGCATGAAAGAAAACCAAATTGACAGTTAGTATTTCGAGTTTACTAAGTCCTACATTGATTCTGACCAACTTGGCCTTTTACCAGTAAGTTGGATGCCAGGAAAAGAAGTACAGATTGGAGATCTTGGTGGGGGGGGTGCTGGTGGGGAAGGAACAACAACAAAGAGTGTGAGAGCTGGAAGGTGGAGCTACAGATGACCTAGTCCAAGCCTTCATTCCACAGTGCCGATACTGGATCGTGGGCTCCTGCACCTGTCCTAACCACTTGGCACTGGTAAATGGCAATGGTTCTTTTCTCTGAGCCTATCATGGTGCTCAGTGGCCCTTGTTAGAGTTATCCAAGACAGAAGGTTCTGATACTTTGTGAGTTATTGAGGAGTGTGAATGTGGACTGAGGATCTTCAGGGAAGTTACTCCATTAGAACGTTCATTTTAAGATGGAGTGTTGGCAACTGAAAATTTATTAATACAGTACAGGAAGACCACGCCGGTCTTGGGTACAGAACCTGGGACTAGACATTGGGAGCCTTAGTTCAAAGCCCCAATGTTCCCCGTGGCAGCTCTGGCCCTTTAGAACGGTCAGTTAAGCTGTGTGGGCCTTTGTGGCTTCATTTACAAAATGAGGGTGCTGTAATCAACCGATACTCAGGTTTTCAACTTCAAATTATGGGTGTGTGGGTCACAGGTGGTTAGAGATCTTTGGAAATTTTTTGGTTAAACCCTATAATAACTTAGCTTGCTTTGTGGTTAATTGCTCAATTTTGGTTCCATGATGTTTGAACTTCGGAATTGTATTCATGCAAACCATAGTATAAGTATGGTATATGTTGTTTATAGAACTCCTCTTTGAGGAGATATTAGGTTCTGTTTGAGGGTGTGTGTTTTTCTCTCCCTCTTTTTTTTTTTTTTGACAGAGTTCTCTCCCTCCTTTTAACAACCACCCCCTGCCCCACACTGAAACAATGATCATGGATCTAGAGGCAGGGAAGTTTTAGAAAGCACTAAACTTTCTAATTTCTTCTAAAAAAAATAAACATTTAAGACAACCCTCACTTGGAGGTGGTGGTAGGAGTAGTTTGGATTATTATTTTTTAAAGATTTACTTATTTATTTGAAAGTCAGAGTTTGTAGAGAAGGAGAGGCAAAGAGAGGGAGGTCTTCCATCTGCTGGTTCACTCCCCAGTTGACTGCAATGCCTGGAGCTGTGCTGATCTGGAGCCAGGAGCCAGGAGCTTCTTATAGGTCTCCCACATGGGTGCAGAGGCTCAAGGACTTGGGCCATCTTCTACTGCTTTCCCAGGCCACAGCAGAGCACTGGAACAGAAGTGGAGCATCTGGGACTTGAACAGGTGCCCACAAGGGATGCTGGCACTGCAGGTAGCAGCTTTACCCACTGTGCCACAGTGCTGGCCCTGAATAGGTTGGATTATAAATGTGAAGATAAGTAGAACTTTGAGTAAGTTTATTAATTTGAGTTTTTAGATACAATTTGGTCCAATTTTACAGGTAGCAGAACTGGCAAAAGTATGTATGCTTGGGTTTATTAGAGTGTTTTGACTATTGAGTTTTTTATTGTTAAGTGGGAGATTGAAGAAAAAGCTGATATTTATCAAAGCACCACCTCTTCCCATAAGTGTGTGAGTCTATATTAATATCCTCACTGAACGGATTCGGAAGTTAGGATCAACAGGAGCAAATGGTGGTCCAACATCAGAGCTCTGAGTAAGTAGTGACTAAAGGACGCTAACTCATGGCTTTCTCGTTGCAGACCCCTGACCTCCTGCTCCCAGTTTCTGTGCTGTGTTTTATACTCCTGAGGGGGAAATTCCAAGCCACCATCGTTGACCCAAACCCTCAGTGTTCAGAGGCTGGGCGAAGTGCTCCTAGATGGGGAGTGGCTCACGTCACCCTCGCTGCAGCCCTCTGTGGCCGCCGCTGTGTCAAAGTCACTGGAGGCCGTTGTTTTTGACCAGTCACCAGCACTAGGCCACAACAGACGAGGCCAAAAATCAACATGTAGTCATCCCTGCTAAAGTTCCATGTTCTCAGGCTGAAAGGAAGTTGCTTGGCCTGCCAAGAAATGAGAGTTAGGGAGC